ATAAAGACTGTATCAAACTATGGAGCAACAAAAAGATTTACAGCAGAAACACTGATTAAAATGATGAATGTCCCAAATGGTGGAAGAAGCCTTTTGACAGAGGATGCAGAAGGATTGGTTTCGGGACCTGGAACAGGACCTGGAACAGGAGCTGGAGCTGGAGCTGGAGCTGGAGCTGGACCTGGATCTGGACCTGGAGCTGGAGCTGTTAATGAGAACACACAGTCACTGACACATCATTTTTTGGTATCAAGTATCATCATGTATACCATATATCCTGAATATGTAAATGCTATAAGTTAGAAACTTACTGAAATGCTTCTACTCGGGAACAATTTTCAAATAAATGTAGTTCTTAACAAATTTCAGGTTATATTCCTCTCTCCCACCCCCATCTCATCTCATATAAATATATATATATATATATATATATATATATATATATATATATATATATATATATATATATATATATATATATACATATACACACACACACACACACACACACACAGATCATCAGGTCATGCTGCTCTGGGTTTTATCTAAGGTTTCACAGGATTTAAAAGCCAAGATAATTTTCTTAGAAATTTTTCTTTCTATTTTCTGTATATATACTCATGCAAAGTAAAGACTGTCTCTTCTATTTCAAACAAGACAACACATTTCACATGCATATGCAAACCGCGACCAGATAATAGCTTCCTTTTAAAGCACTGATTCTGCAAGCTGACAGAAAATAGTTTTTCCTCTACATATACATGGCTATAGAGAAAACTGCTTTCCTTGCATCTGAATTCTTATAGAGAATCAGTGGACTCCATCTACAGGATAATCCGTTTTATGCTGCTCTAAACTCAGATAATGGATTTAAGGTATGTTTTTTCTTTAAACAGACTGTACAGGGAAAGATTATCCCAAATGGGATAACCAGACTTCATAAGTGAAACCAAGAAAAAGAATTTTATAAAAGCCTTCATGTGGTGGTGCATGCCTGTAATCCCAGCGGCTCAGGAGGCTGAGACAGGAGGATCGCAAGTTCAAAGCCAGCCTCAGCAAAAGCGAAGCACTAAGCTACTCAATGAGACCCTGTCTCTAAATAAAATACAAAAACAGGGCTGATGTGGCTCAGTGGTCAAGTGCCCCTGAGTCAATCCCCAGTACCCCCCCTCAAAAAAAGCCTTCATGTCAATTTATTTGCCATAGTTATAAACAGGCAGTTGTATGAGTAGAGACAGGGAAATAGGATAAACTCATGCATTAGTATGTCATCACAGAACAGTGGTTCTCAAGAGTATAGTAAGTCCTGAGAGGCAATCTGGACAACTGTCAAAGGGATTTTCTCTTTTATTCTTTTTTTTTTTTTTTTTTTTTAATGTTGCTGGGGATTGAACCCAGGGCCTTGTGCATGCAAGGCAAGCACTCTACCAACTGAGCTAGACACCCAGCCTGATTTTCTTTTTTATTGTTACACCAATGGGGTGCAGGTAGGAGGGCTAGATATGCTGAGATGATTAAGAGAGTTTTGCACAATGAAAAATCAACCTACTTCATGCCCAACTTTCAAATGCACTGCTAGACACATATGCAAGTTAAAAACCTATTTATAGTGATTAAATCCAGAATCTAAATCAGTTTTACATATAAACAAAATATTTTCAGATGGTTTTAATAAAAATAAAACATTTTTATCTAGTATCCACTGTGTTTCTTTAGTTTCATTTTCTTCTTACATAGAACAATTTCTAATCTCTTAAATTCAAATTTATTTGAATACATAAATGAAAACATCTGATTTCATTAAGCCTTTCAATATAAGCTAAGCATTTACATATTGAAATATGTTCTTTTGTTATAAATTACATTCAGGATATTATAATATTTTTTATGGGTATAAGTACATCTGATCTATGAATCTTATTTTAGGATAATACAAGGGCTTTGTACAATATTTGTTATTTAAAAAAAGGGTTGAAAAGATTTCAACTACTGTTTTAAAACAGCATAGTCTCCAGTCATAGCTGAAAATGATTTTTCAAGAAACAAAGTTGCCCCTATACATATTGTTATAATACCTTAAATTCTTGCAACTTCCTTTGATAAGAAAAATTAATTTCTCACTTTTTCTACATTGCAGAAACATTAATCAACAAAAGAAATGAGATATTTCTTACTAGGACTGTTGGTATTTCCTTGACTTTCATCTTCTAAAACAAAAAGAGATTTTGAGTTAATTGTATTATACATCTATTTATCTGGAAGAAAAAGATAAAAAAAAAAAAACAAGGTCCAATAAAGATTAAGCAAACTTGATTATCTCTGAGAGCAGGCAGGATTAATAAGTTTAGAAGTATATGGCAGGTTGCAGAAAAGTTTAGTTTTTACTCATTTATGCTCTTTGAAAAATTTCTCCATGAATATGCATTTCCATTAAAATAGAGGTTAAAATGTTGTTTACCAAAAAGGTACTTTTTCTACATACTGAACTCAGATTTTCCCAAGTATACCATTAATGATTTATTGTTTGTTATCTGTCAGGCGTAACGAAAATGCTTTATGTACATTACTTCTTAAAATCCTAATAGGCAGGTATTGTTAGCCATATTTCACAGATGTTCTTTAAAACACCTGTGACATGTTTTGAGGTATGACATACCAAAAATCACAGAGGTTAAGTGGTAGCAATATCTGATTTCAAAACCTTTACTTTTAATCACTATTCTATACTATCTCCATGTGTGTGTCTCGCATTGAAATATTTCATTAGTTATTATATTTTCACAGTTTTAAAACTAAATTATAGGAGCTCAGGATAGAGAATAGAGGTGTATATCAAAATCTGGAAGACAAGTGTCAAGTGGCAGAAAGTGAACAAAACTTGAAACATTTGAGTCATGGTTGTCTCTTTCTAGCCTTTTACTGTTCCTATGTTCCACTTCCTCATCTTTGAAGTGACACTGGATTAAATGAGAACTCGTGAACTGTTTTGACATTGCCTTTTAAAAAGGCTGCACTGTACATAGTTTTAAAGGAGAGGGCACAATACAACACAGTCTCAGCAAAACCCAGGGTCCTATTTGTGAAATAAAGGAGAGTGTAGTGAGGAGCTCAATGTTAATATGCCATATAGTTGTCATTCACAGTTCTTTGATGATGCTATTCCTATGTCCACAGATTCCCTCCCTATTCCAGTTCACTCTGGAAAGCCTCCTGCCTCATTCTGGAACAGAAAAGCCCAGCTGGACAGTTAACTGTTCCAGTTTCAGGTCAAGCATCATTTTTCTCCTTGGCCCAGAGAACCTTAATAGCAGCCCACTGCTCACAATAATAAGTTCTCAACCTTCCCCTCCTCTGCCATTCAGAGAAGGATGTCAGAAACTGTAGAGCCCAAATATCTTCCCTAGACCCCCTTAAGCCTGACATAACTGAGTGATTACAGTGAAGGACTTAGAACCACATGGTGCCTCCACCCCCAATATAGAATTTATTACCTTTTATTTCATCTGGTTCTACCACTTTTATTCCTAAGTGAAAAAAAATATTTTCAGTTAATAATTATTTACTATTTTATTATTTTTTATCATGTATTTTACTTCATTAGGTCCTAATTTACTCCCAAAAGACTGAAGTATCCTCATTTCACACAGGTAGAAGCAGAGACACACAAAAATGAAGTAACTTATACAAAGTTACCTAAAGGAAAGTGGCAGAGGAGCGACTTCCTGAAGCTAGGTATGTCGGTCTACACAGCCCGTGTTCAACCCCCACTCCCTGCTCAGTGGCCATCTTTCAAACAACCACAGTGTTACTATCAGACCCTGACGAAAGCATCAGACAAACTCAGCTCCACACAGTGGAAGAGATAAGGACAGATGAAGTGTGTCATCAGTATCACTAGGGGTTCACTTTCAAATTGTGGCCAAACAAATCCATCAGTGCTAATCTTGGTTAGTACAAAAGAGTTGCTGAGCCCGCTTTCTGAGCCTGTATCCATAGCTGAACTGTGACCATGCTGTTTCTGCGCATGGCATGCAGTTTCAATAGGCAGCACTCAGTACTATGTGGTTAGATTTAATTGAGCAGATGCTGAAAATCTAATTTCTTTAACAGGTTACCATTGCCCTAATTAAAAAAAAAAAAAAAAAAAACAGCTTAAAAAACACTTTTTTTTTTTTTTTGGTAGATGGACACACACAAAAAAAACACTTTTTAAAGCACTATAATGAACTCAGGAAAAAGGATTTTAAACATTAGATAGGGGATGGCACCTGAGATTTTATGGTTTGATAGTCCTTACAGATATTCCCATGAAGTAAATATGACACTTGAAAGATGACAATTTTGAGGCATAGAAGTGCCATTACTATCATAGCTCTCTGGTAAAATATCATATGTCCATTTTTTTTTCTTATTATCTCAGGAAAAAACTTGAGGAGCTTTTTTCTTCCCCTGTACACATAAAGTTCTTTACACATAAAGTTCTGAGGTTCTTCTGAAAAACGTGACTGGAGTCACTGTTCACTTTCTCTGGCCAAGAAACTCAAGGTCCCTCAATAGCCTTGCCCTCAGTTATAGCTCTCATGTTAAAAATGCTCATTTTTATAAAGGTTATTTATTCAAGGTATGTTAAATCTGTCATGGTAAATATGCTGGAAAAACACACTTGTGGAATCACAGGTATTTTCAGTGACTTTCAGTTTGTGCCAGTGAATACGATTTTCAAATTCTGGTCTGATGTATTCAAGAGATACGAGCCCCAAAGGTCTGACTGCACTATAGTTTCTGGCTTTTGACTGAAAAATTTCTGGCTCCATAAATTCTTATTGTACAAATCTACACCAAGCTTAGAGGAGCTTTCTGTCATAGCACTTCACTCAGTGTGTGTCCATGCCAGGAGAATACTGGGTTTTGTAACCTGGAGAACCCACATGATGAGTTGTTAACCAAAGCTAACAGCTTGTGAAAGAGCTGAAGTTTCTATTGAGTAACTTTAGCTGTAAAATCTGGAAGGTGCTGGCCTAGTGCATCCAGGTTCCAGCAACTTTGCTCTTAGCCAAGATCCCAACACAGCTAACTTCCTGCCTCGGAGACTGTTCCAAGAGCACAAGAACGCTGGAGAGGAAAGGTACTTTCTCTAACCCTCATCCCAGATACATTTTTGTAGGTGATTGACTCAGTCATAAGGGAATATTAGTGAACACTGCCTCATGATAATATTCTCTTTAGTCTAGGTAACCATTCTCACCTCATACTTGGGTTCAGACCAACAGAAAACTATCTTACCAGGTATTTCAGTGGATTCAAGGCTTTTCATACCTAAAGGAAGGAATGATTATTGATTCGTGACAATTAATTACCTTGCATTGTTAATGTTCCCATCCTTTTACTACTTCCCCCAACAGCAGTAGAGGAAAAAAAAGAGGGGAAAGAAAAGAGAAAAGGAGAAGAAAGAGAAGGAAGAGAATGGAAAAAGAAAGAAAACAGCCACAACAAAAGCACCTTTCAATGGTTCTCACTTTCCAACAGGATGAAGTCCAAACTCCTTAAGCTAGACTTAAAGAACTACCATGATCTACCCCTTATATCTCCACCTCATCTTCATAAGGCAGTCATATAACAACCATTTTTAAATGAAATATTAATGGGTTGAAGTCTCTGCTTGGTTTAGCTCCTGTCATTACAGTTATTAGTTCTATAATTTTGGGCAGGCTACTTATTTACATTAAATTGGGAGTACTTTCTTATATCATTAAATGATTTTAAAAACAATTTTAAGCTTAGTGTTTCATAATGTATACATAATTTATTTAACAACACTCAACTGCTAAACACTAAGAATGTTTCTAAATTTTTGGTACTGTAATATCTGTGATGAAATATTTTTGTACACAATTTTTTGCGTTTATTTCTAATTTCTCTGGACAAATACCAAAAGTGTTATAACTGGATAAAAAGATAAAAACATTTTTAAGGCTAGTAATATACATACTATTAAATTACCCTACAGAAAATTTTTTCCAGGGGCTCAGGGGTGTAGTTCAGTGGTAGAATATTTGCCAAACATGCAGTAGGCCCTGGGTTTGATCCACAGAACCCCAAAAGAAAAAAAAAGGAAAAGGGAAGTCATTCTAATTTATAATCTCACTAGAAAATTATAAAAATAGAGTCCTCTCCCAGGACTCTTAAGAGCATCTGAATAATATAATTAAGAAATAAGCCAGCATGGTGACACGCATCTAGTCCTAGCAATTTAGTAGGCTGAAGTAGGATCACAAGGTCCAGGGCAGCCTCAGCAATTTAGCAAAACCCTGTCCACAAAATTTAAAAGTTAATTAATTAAACAAAAGGGCTGCAGATGTAGCTCAGTGGCAGATCATCCCTGGGTTCAATCCTCTATAAAAAAAAAGTAAATAAATAAAACAGCTGGGTGTGGTAGCATATGCCTATAATTCCAAATACTGAAAAGGCTAAGGCAAGAGGATTGCAAATTCAAGGCCAGCTTAGGCAATTTAGCAAGACCCTGTCTCAAAATAAAAATAAAAGATCTGGGAGTATAGTTCAGTGATAGAGCACTTGCCTAGCAAGAAAGGCCCTGGATCCAATCCCCAGAATAATAGTAACTATAATAATGATAACAGCAACAACATTTAAAATAAAATAAAAATTTGGAGATAATGCTGTGGCATGTACTAATAATTAAATGGCTATAGCTAATAGCATCTATTATTGAGACTGCTAGAGACAGAAATAAATAGAGAATCATCATTTTCATTTAGAAAAAAAGTAATGCTATTTGTTATGCCCATCCAAAACTCCCAGTCACAAGAGTTCATGTAACAAATGTTCTCTATTTTCAGGAACTGCCTGAAGATTGTTAGACAAGAGACAAAACTGCTGAGTCATTTTTATAAAGAGATGCCAAACTAAGGCACTAAGCAGTGCTAAGGCTGGCACTGCCTTCTTCCCATTCTTCCTTACTATACAGCATGCATGGCTGCTCACACCCGTAAAGTGAACTGCTGCAAAATGAAAGCCCCCAGAGTTCATGAAAGTGTCTTACCAGGGTCCTCAAGACTCTGGTTTTCATTACCTAAATTACAAAAAAAGAAAAATCAGTTTTAATTGATCTAAATAACAAGAGATCAAAAGAAATAGGACTTACTAAAGCTACAACATAACTATTTTCAAGGAAGGCTGAGACAGGAGGATCACAAGTTTGACATTAATGGGGTAACTGAGCAAGACCTTGTCCAAAATAAAAATTTTAAAAAATTTGGACAAGATCCAAAATTAGCTTTGTAGTAAAGCATCTTCCTAGCATACGAGGCCTTGGGTTCAATACCCAGCAATACACACACACACACACACACACACACACAAACTTATTTTCATGGTAGTATGGCTATAAAGAACCCCTTGGTATATCCGTAACTACTGCCACTGAATTTTAGTGTCAGCCAGAAACTAAATGTAACTTGGCTCTCTGGCCCTCTATATTAACAAAAACCAATATATATATTTATATATCCTAGTAGTCTCAAGAAAGCAGGAAAATGTCTGTTTTGAATTATTAGCTAAGGTCCCTGTGAAGTGACCAGAATTTGGGACTGCAATAGGCCATTTAAGAAGGGTTGCTGCCAGTCATGGTGGCACACACCTTAATCCCAGCAACTTGGGAGGCTGAAGCAGGATAATAGCAAGTTCAAGGTCAGCTTCAACAACTTAACAAATCTTTTTTCAAAATAAAAGATAATAAGGGCTGAGGATGCAGCTCAGTGGTATAGCACCCCTGGGTTCAACCCCCAAAACAAAAAAGACAAAAAGAAAAGGGTCTATCAAGTCCATTAAGACAGGAAGTATCTTCCAGAATATGAAATAAATGGCATATTTAAGGAAAGGGTGAATTTTTCTCAAGATAAACTTATTGTAGCCACACGGGCCAAACACACAAGGAATGTAAATACAAAGACATGATTTTATTGTATCTCCATTAATGGAAACTTAAAAAAATTTATAATCACCTGGATATTTTTAGTCAAACAATACTTGTCCAGGGGCAAAAAATTACAATGGAGTAGCATTGGTTTGGGGCACTTAAAATGGAGTTGGGAAGCCATGAATCAGATCCCAGGTGGAGTGCAGACATGACCACTCCTAGCTCTGAGATGACCTTTGAAACACTGTTAACCTCTACTGACCTTCTGTTAAGGTATCCCTTATCCCAATCTACCCAGAGAGTTCATGCCCATTTCCTCTCTTACAAAACAGTCTGATTATAAAACACCAATCACAGTTCCTAACAAGTATTTCTAATTTTCACCCTTCTTGCAGTTTAAAGCTATAAATTCAGCTGCAATTTTATAAAACCCTGGAGCACATTTTCAAGATTGCCTGAATCTGTTTTCCTGGTTTGTGATCCCATTAGTCCTGAATAAATGTAATTTAGATTTTATTCTCGGTGGACATATCACATGTCAGTATATTTCAGAGTTGCAAATACAGTTTTCTACTTACATTTGAATGTTGGCTTCACACAAGCTAATATCAATGACTGACTATAGAGTTACAGCTCACAAACCTCCCAGACCAGGTCTTGAGCAATTAGCTTTTCAGATCTCATCACCCTATTCCTCAGAAAGTTTCTATATTATTCAGATCTCCAGAGCCATCTCTCTCTCACTGGAGGAAGGTAAATTTCCCCAGAATAGGTTTTATTCATCTAAGAATTCATTTGCTAAACTGGAAAGAGCCATTAAACATTCTTATATCATAATTTTATTTTTTAAAATTAAGAGCATACTCACTAGGGTTGTAGATGTAGATGGGCTGAAAATATTCTGAAATACAAATATGTTTTCATTACTTGCTATTCTACTCAGATGTGAATGTCAGTTTCAGTCTATTTTTAAATGATTACTAAAAATATAAAGATTTGAGTTGGCTTACATTCAAGAAACATAAAACATGGTTATTATAAGAAATATAAGATTTCAATCAATAGACAAATGGATGTGGGTTCTTTTTAATTACACAAAGAAGAGAAAAAGTAGCCAGGAAGGCATTTAGAATTGGACCCTTGTTTTCAAAACTTTTAATAAGGAAATCTTCAAAAGGACCCACTGACAGGATACATCAGTACAAGACATTTTCTGGCAACTTTGGTTCAAATCTATTAGACTTTTAATAATGCCATTCAAGAATACTCTTGGGGGGCTGGGGCCGGGGCTCAGTGGTAGAGCGCTCACCTGGCACATGTGAGGCACTGGGTTCAATCCTCAGTACCACATATAAATAAATAAATAAATAAAGATATTATGTCCAACTAAAAAAAAATTAGAAAAAGAAAAAAAAAAGAATACTCTTAGAATTTCCTGTCTACCTTCCCAAATCTTTCCTGACTTTCTTCTAAGAAACATTTTTTGTTACATCCTGTTTTTCCATGGCAAAGCGGAAACACCTCACTATTGTTCTGTCAGCCCATATTTTCCCTTTGAGCCATTCACTCCATTCATTAGTCTTCCAAATGTTATTTCCTAAGATATAGGAATGGGAGGAGTTTAGCTCTTTGCAGATGGGCAGTGACTAGAGATGTAGGGGCACTCTGGCTGGAGTCCTTAGGCTCCCATAAGGACAGGCTGGGGTGAGTGGCCTGTTTGCCTGAGGGCAAGGCAGTGTTTGAGAGAATAGCAAAAGCAAGAATGGGGGGGGCTGGGGTTGTGGCTCAGCGGTAGAGCACTTGCCTAGCACATGCAAGGCCCTGGGTTGGATCCTCAGCACCACATAAATAAAGATATTGTGTCCAAAATAAATATTTAAAAAAAAAGCAAGAATGGAGCTGGGGTGGGGAGTTACAGTAAAGGTGGAGCTCACCACCTGAGAAAATGATGGTTGACAGAACAGGAGCACCATGGTGGGAAGGATTTGACTCACACTTGTGAGAAACAACACTGACAAAATTCCATTAGACAGAACACTTGAAAGCATATCTTACCTAAGTTCTCCATGCAATTTTCAGTTTTCAGTCCTGAAACAGAAATATTAAAGCTTTGTTACATATAATCTAAACTAGTAAAAATTTTAATTGATCGGTGGCTATTGATAATTTAGTCTGTCAATTCTTAGCCTATAACCCATAATTTTGTGGGATGCAAATGTGTTCTTAGAACAGCCACTGAACACTATATAACTTTTGACAAAATATCTGACCTTTCTGGAATTCAATTTCAGATAAGTCTGTATCTGTTATTGGGCAAAAGAGAATTAAGATTGTAGTGCTAATAATCCTGTGAATTAGCTGAACTTCAGAGAGGACAACTACCCTGCATTATCCAGGTGAGCTCAGTCTAAACACAAAAATCCTTAAAAGTATGAGAGGAAGAAGAGAGCATCAGAGAGAGGCAATGTGAAGAGGGCTTAACATACTGTTTGTGGTTCTGAAGATGGAAGAAGAAGGGCCACAAATTTAGGAATGGCAAGTAGCTGTCATAAGCTAAGTAAGGCAAGGAAACATTCTTGCCCAAGATTCTAGAAAGGAATGCAGTTTTACCAACACCTTAATTTTAGCTCAGTTAGATCCATGTCAGACTGCAGAAATGCAGAATAAATAACAATCATATATAGGTATATATAAAACAATATAACAGACATTAATAACAGAATTTAATGTTACATAAATATTAAATAAATACATAATTTACATAATGAATATTTATAATACATCTTATATATAATAAATATCTAAGATAATAAAGCTTTGATATTTTAAACCACTAAATTTGTAATTTTTTTACAGAAGCAACGGAATACATGTACACATACATAAAAACAGAAAATATCTAAAATGAAAGAGGAAAAAAACTAAAACAAAAATAATAGAGACTCACTGAATTATGGAACGACTTTAAGAAGCTCACTATAAATAAATAAATAATAAGTAAATAAATCATTTAAAGGGAAGAATAGGCTAGGGGTGTGGCTTGGAGGTAGAATGAGTGCTCAGCATGCACTCAGCCCTTGATTTTATCCTCAGCAGCAGCAGCAACAACAACACACACACACACACACACACACGCTTGCCCATACATGAAAAACAAAAGAGGAGTGAAAAAATATTTGAAGAAACAACAGCCAAAACTCCCCAAAATCCAATGAAAACCACAATCACACAAATCTTCTATCTTTAATAATAAAAAACTCAAGAGACAGTAAGAAAACAAGCCACCCCATTAAAAACGGGCAAAATATTAGAACAGACACTTAACTATATATATATATATAAATGGCAAATACATACATGAAAGGATGTTCAACATTATTACTCAACAGGAACATGCAAGTGAAAAAACATATCTTTTTGGAACTATAAAAATGAAAATGACATAGCATACTAAGTGTTGGCAAGGATGTGGTAGAATTGGAACTCTTATTTAGTCCTGGTAAGGATGTAAAACTACTTTGGAAAAATACTTTGGCAGCTTCTTTCAAAACTATACAAATACCTACCATATAATTTAGCCAACATACTCCTAGATATTTATCGAATGGTAATGTATGTATATATCCATACAAAGAATTATAAAGTTAACAAATGATTTATTTGTAATAGCCCCAAAGTGGAAACAATCTAACTTTTCTTCAACAGTTGAGAGTATACAAATATATTGTGTTGTATCCAGTATTCTATAATAGAATGTAAGGAACTATTGATATATGCAGCAACATGAATAATCTCAAAATTATTATTATGCAGAATGAAAGAGGCTATGCAAAAAAGAATATGATAGTACTTGAATGAAATTCTAGAAAGTACCAACTAATATTTATGGTCAGAAAGTAACCTGTAGCAGGGCTGGGGTTGTGGCTCAGTGGTAGAGTGCTTGCCTAGCATGAGTTTTAAAATTTGATACTCCGAATGCTACCAAAGGATATTTCAATGCTTCAAAAGAAACACAGTCACACTTGTTATCTGTCTGGACACTGAGTGAACTACTAGCTTGGGTAGAAGGCAGTTTCAGTTATATGTTAAATGTTACCTATCATGTTACATTCTGTTTGATGTCATCATATATTCGAAAAGCTGGGTCTTAAGCAATTGTGATAAAAGGCAAGTATATGTGGAAAGCAATGTGGAACATGAAATAAGATAGTATTTAATCTGATTCCAAGATCTGAAAAGCTGTGTGCAGTGTCTAACAGGCACACACCTCCCATCAGCAAGTTAAATGTGGTAAAGAATGAAATAATCACACTTTATTGAAAAAGTAAGTGTAGCATTTTTATAACAATTACTAAAATATTAGGATATACTTACTGAGTTATTTGTATTTACTTAATAAACAGAACTTTAGTGTATTTGTTTTAACCCAGGGACATGGAAAAAAATTGTGACTAAGCATCATGAACTGAAAAAGTTTGAGAACCCCTGCATTAAACACTGCACTAGACTTATCTACAACTTTACCCAAACTACTGACTCAATGGGTACCTTGCTTACAAGACTTGATACATGAAAAGACAACATAGTTCACTGATAAAACAGCCTGCCCCAGGTTGGGCAAATCCAGTGGAATGTTGCATTCATTTGTTGTAGTGATGTAAATTGGTCTTTGCCTTGGATGCTCTGTGGGATGAGGTGAACCTCAAAAGAGCATCCTGGAAGGGATACAATACTTTGAGAGTGAAACACACTTATATTGGCTCATGTGACAACACTAATACCTTAACTGTAATGGTAAGGCTACTGGGTCACTCAGAACTGGATTACTAAAGATAAATCCATACTCAAGTATCTCTATATGGTGTTTCCAATGCAGAAAATATAACTTGTGATTTCAATCTTATTTTACTCACATATATAAACATGAGTGATAGAAATCACCTGGGAACTGACAAAGCAGATGAGGTATATGTGACCATCGTCTCTATTATAGCTTATGAATCTATAAGCAAATCTACCACAGTAAGAAAATCATTTATAAGGACTAGGACTTCAAATGAAAAATTCTACCAGTCTTCTCAATGAGATTTCTCCAGGGCTGTCTGCTCTGACTATCTTCAGTTACTTATAAGCTGTAAATAGCCATCCTAATTTACCTTGGTTGAGTTCCCAAGCACCAAGGAATCACGAGTTGAAGAAAGAAGGGAAGTGAAAGAAGAATATACTTATGTAGGTATGCTTGCTCTGACCTCAGTATTTTGGTGGATATAAAACTGGCTTTTACTACAATAAAAGAATATATTTCCTGTAACCTCAGCAAAGTACAGATCATATTAATCTGATAAAAACACTAGTTTATGAAATTAGAGGCTTACTTTGCTTCCAGTGGCTAATTTTCTCTTGTTCTCAGAGGTCAACACAGAATTCATCATCATGGGAAAAGGACAACCAAACTGGATTATCCCCAAGAGGAGGTGACAAGACTGTAATGGATTGGACTGGGATTAAGCTGGCAGCTTCTGACATGGCTATCAATGATCCTGTCTCTTGGTATTCACACTCCTTTGTAATCTTCTTCCCTTGAGTGTGGGCTGAACCTAGTAACTTGTTTCTAGCAAACAGAATGCAGCAGAAGTGATGATCTGACACTTCCATGGTTAGGTTGTAGAAGTGTAACTTGTTGGTACTCTCTTGCTCATCTGATGAAGCAAGTTGCCTTGTTGTGAGATGCTCTATGACAAGATCTATGCAACTAGGAACTAAGGAAGACCTCCAGCCAACTACTCATGAGGAACTTTGGTCTTGTTTGAACTCATGAAGGACTGCACCCTGCAAACAGCCATGTGAATAAGCTAAGAAACAGATCCTTTCCAGTCAAATCTGAAGATGATTGTAGTGTCCACCTAAGTATGCCTGGATTCCTGACCCACAGCAACTGTAAGATAATAAATGTTGTTTTAAGCCACTAAGTTTTGGAGTAATTTGGCATTCAGAGGATGACTAATATAGGCTTAGGTTCTGTTTTCTATATCAACTTGTCTAGGATACAGTTAGTCCTCAGTTATTCAATAAAACACTAATCCAGTTGTCATAATGAATGTGTTTTGTAGATATGACTAAAGTCCACAGTTGGTTAATTTTGAGTAAGGTAGATCACCCCAAATTACTGTGCAGGCCTGGTTCAATCACACCTGAAAGGCTTTAAGAGAAGAGGCTTTCCAAAAGAAGAAGCTCTGCCTGTGAACAGAAGCATAAGCTCATGCTTGAGTTGCTTCCAGCCTGTCCTTCGCCCCACCCTGCCTTGTGGATTTTTAGAATTGACTTACTGGTTTCTTAAAAGTGTAAGCCAATTCTTTTAGCAATACATTTCTAAATAAATATTTCCTGCTGATTCTGTATCTATGGTTGAACCTTGACTGATTCAACAGTGATAAATGAATCTGGTGGGTGAAAGTCTAAAAGAGTTGTTGGTGAGCAGTCTTCAAATTCTTCTAAGTATTGATTCATAGTGGTGAACTGGATATGTCACTTACTCTGTGGTATTGGATATGTTCTTTCTTATTTGTTTTAGCTACGTGGATTGATATTCCAACCCCAGACATTCTTAGGCTTACTTTGCTTCCAGAAATTTTGCCATTCCAAGGAAATGCTAATGGGTATCAATCAGAACCAATAGAGATACATACATTTATTAAGCTCTCAGAAGCTGCAGGTGAATTTATAAGAAATAAGTTGGATAGCCCCATGGACTCATTTTCTTTCCCCCTTTAGATGTCTTAACAGAGAGCTGGCTTGACAGGCCTCAGTAAGCTCAATAAAATACGCTAAAATAGCCATTGAAGTCCAGAGGCATATTCTTTCTAATGAGGCCACTTTCCCAACTGGGGAACATTGATATTCTCTAATCCCCAAGCTCCGTAAATATATAAATCATTATACCAAGATTGCCCCTCATTACAGAAACATTGGCCAAAATACCATATCATCTATGCCAACCCTTCAGGGGATAATATTGCTCTATAAATCTTTCTCCTGATAAACGTGTTATGTTTGTATTGTAGGGAATCCAAAAGCTATTGCTTTCCTCTAGGTATGTATAATTTATCCACTGTTCTCCCAATCCAGATGTAATTTTCCAATTGTGTAATTTTTAACAATAAGGAAAGTAGCCTGATTACACTGCTGATATTCTACTTTTATCAAGTTTTGTAGGAAAATAGTATCAATGATAGTAAATCTGCAGTGATTTTCTATTGAGAAAAAAGAAAGGATATTTTTCCCCTCAGAGTTCTTTCTCTTATTAGATGACTACCATTAATGAAATAGCAATAGTCTCTCTACCTCCTAACAAACTATTTTTAGTTAACTAGTTTTTATAAAATCCACTAAAAATTTTTAGCTTTAAATTCGTAGACAGTAACACAGGTCTGTGTTTAGTACATTAAATTTAGTGCTGTAATTTTTTTTTTTAATGCTTGGGATTGAACCCAGGACCTTATGCATGTGAGGCAAGCACTCTACCAAGATATATTCCCTAGCCCCTAGTGTTATAACTTTTTAAAAATCCTTTTAGAAATATTGTCTCTTTGTATCTAGAGTCATAGGTAAATCCTGTCAGTGGAACAAGATTCTGAATGTATCCTCCTGACTTGAGCTTTTAAAATCCCTAGTCAGATTGTTGCAAACAGCTTGTTTCTGTTTTTAAATCAAGCTTGAGTTAGTTAGCCATAGGGAGTTTTTGGACTCCATTCTCATAGTTATCTCTAGATGGCAGCAAAGAACTCCAATCTAGGATTAAATACCATAACTCCTCTCAGTTTCAATCAACACACTCAAATACAGTGGCTTAGAGCTCCCCAAACACATGATACATAGAAGTATCCACAAAGGCCTCCTTTTGTGACTAGTCTGAATATTAATTTGCTGTGCATCTTCTGCCTAATCCTTGTTCCCCTCCCCACATCTTCACACAGGACTTATAATGCATTTTTCCATGTAGGTCTTAAGCCCTGGCTCATTCAGAATCAAACCAGTTAGCTCTATCTCTTTTACTATATCACAATTCCCATCACAAACATGGAGTCATTGCCCAACATAACCCAACAACTAGGGATTAGTACAAAATCTGGCTTGTAGCCAGGGACCCACAAATAACATTTGTCTAAGTGCACGAGAACACCAAAAGTAGAAGTACTTCATTTGTGTACAATGTATCAAAAGGCATTCTACTGTCATGTATAACTAATTAGAACAAATTTAAAAAGAACACCAAAAATACTTCAACTATGTTTCTAGCTGTGATATGCTGGTAAAGTTTAACACACTTGGTGGTGTAGTACTTGTTAATTTTCCTTTTTTTTTTTTAAGAGTTTTAGAGTTTTATTAAAACTGTGTTTTTAAAAATTATTATTTGTTTTAATTAGTTACACATGTCAGTACTGTGATCTTGACATATTATACATCTGAATCTAGCAATCAGAGAAATGCAAATTAAAACTACTCTAAAGTACCATCTCACTGCAGTAAGAATGGCAGCCATTATGAAGTCAAACAACAACAAGTGCTGGCAAGGATGCGGGGGAAAAAGGTACACTCATACATTGCTGGTGGGACTGCAAATTGGTGCAGCCAATTTGGAAAGCAGTATGGAGATTCCTTGGAAAACTGGGAATGGAACCACCATTTGACCCAGCTATTCCTCTTCTCAGAGGGCATACTACAGGGACACAGCCACATCAATGCTTATAGCAGCACAATTCCCAATAGCTAGATTGTGGAGCCAATCTAGATGTCCTTCAATGGATGAATGGATAAAAAAAAATGTGGCATTTATACACAATGGAATATTACTCAGCACTAAAAAATAACAAGATCATGGCATTTGCAGGGAAATAGATGGCATTAGAGCAGATTATGCTAAATGAAGTTAGCCAATCCCCCCCAAAAAAAAATGCCAAACGATTCAAATGGGGTAGAGAGGAAGAGCATGAGAAGAAAATTACCTCTAGATAGGGAAGAGAGGTGGGAGGGAAAGGGGAGAAGGGGAATTGCATGGAAGATGGAGGAAATCCTCATTGTTATACAGATTACATGTATGATGATGTGAGGGGGAAAAAAAGAAGTGTGTCACATTAGATTGGGTAGAGAGAAGTGAGGGGAGGGGAGGGAAAGGGGAGATAGGAAGGACAGCAGAATAAAATAGACACAATTGCTATATGTATATTCGTGACTGTTAATTTTCATTGTAAAGCAGTTTCCACTTCTCAGTGATTTCACTTTCAGTTATCACTGGTCAACTGCAGAAAAATCTGCCTTAATTCTTTCAAAAAAGAGACAGCATTCATAGCTTCTATACAGTATACTGTTATAATTATTCTATTTTATTAGTTGTTACTGTTGCTCTCTTGCTGTGCATAATTTATAAATGAAACTTTATCACAAGTATATATGTATAGGAAAATATAGGGTTTGTTATTTTCTGCAGTTTCAGGCATTCTCTGGGGGCCTTGAAACATATCTCCCATGGATAAAGGGGGTAGAAATATATAACCAAACCATGGTCAATTTTAAACTCCTGTGATATAAGAGGAACTGGGAAGAAGATATATGCCTTTAATTTGCTTTGATTAATTCTCAGTTGATTATAGTTAGCTTGGTTTTTGGTCAGGTCCAATGTATAGTTGTTGATGAGAATGAACACTTTCTTTCAACACAAATTTACTCAGGGCATCCTTCATCTATCCCCACAAGAAAAATAGTCTTATTCAGATGCAACTCAAATACAGGAATAGAATAAGACAAATGAGGGGCCTAGAGTATAAAATTTAAGGAGGCACTCCCTTTCAGAATCATGCAAATGGAAGTAGTTTAAGTATGTGGCCCTAAAAGTGAAAACTTCCTTCAATTTTGCAACCTTGGTACCTCAAGAGCCACAAACCTTCTGCCATCCAATCCTATCAGCTCCTAACTCAGGCATGTCTCACCCTACCCAGCCTTTTTAATTTACAGTACCTTGGGCACAATGAGGCAAGATCTAAAGGTCTAACCCACTTCTAAGACCTATGTACAGCAGCAATAGTTTTTGGTTCAGCTAGAGAGTCACACTTACAAGACCCCGAAAGGCCTAATCCTCACCAGTTTACTGAGTTTTGCAGAAAAAAAGAAATGCAAGGCAAGGAACATATGCTATTTAGCAGCAGGTGAGCATTAAGTATGGCCCTTCAGTGCAAGTCTTCATAGTCCAGGAATATTCTTTAATCCCCCAAGATTACAGTTAGTCACAAGGAAAGATTACACAGGGAGGTGCAGGAACCTCTGTAGTTTAGTAACCTCATACCACATAAGAAGACAGTATTCTTGAACCTGCCAATCTTGTACAGGATTGATACAGGTCCTGTTTGCCTTCTGGCATTCAACAAGGAGAACACGTGGGTGTGCTGCACCACATTCAGGAAGGCCCCAAACAGTGGCCTCCCTGTGGGTATTTATAGTTCATTCACAATCCTCCCAGCTCACATGAACTTTGTCAAGTTAGAAATTTATTTCCCATAGGTTGTGATTCTACCTGTTGTGCGAGAAGATCAACAGGAGGCCACTTTCACAGAAGAAAGGGTTTTTATTGACCCTTTAAATCATATACATCAAGGCACAATACCATAAAGTTTCAGAATTTTAGGAATAAAGAAAACACATTAAACCTTTCAGATTAAAAAAATAGGTTTCAGGAAGGGGTTTTACAGCCCAGTAAGTGAGTGTTTGATTAGTATGTATGATGCTCTTGTTTGTATTCAGCACCATAAAAAAAATCAAAACAGGGGCTAGGGCTATAGCTCAGTGTGTGAGGCACTAGGTTTGATCCTCAGCACCACATAAAAATAAATAGATAAAGATATTTTTAAAAAAACAGACTCATCCAAAGTTTTAGTAGAGTAGCTTTCAACTTTTTTTTTTTACAGAAGTTACAGA